GTATTTTCTCCTTGAAGGTATTCGCTTCCCCGCGCGAATTTTCTATCCGATGGAGTCGCCGCGACTAATCGTGGATGCACGTGTAATGTGCAATAATGCGATAATGCGCGCGACAATAACAGCGGTAATTTCGCGCAATGAAGATTAATTATGTTATACGTGCTTATCGTTGGGTCGTAGGAAAAAAAAGGAAACGCTTTGTAAAATTGCTAAACACCGAACGAATGATTCGCACAAACACAAGCTATAATTAGGAAAAAAATATAAAAAGTTCTGAAAAATTGTGCAGTATCGTGCGCATTGATCGGTAGATAATATTCTGCGATTATTGATTATTGATTATTGAATTACAAATCATTATGTCGTGCAAGGTTTAGCGGACTTCAGCGTCGACGGTTTGTCAAGTTGTCAAATTTGTGGACAAAATTACGAAGCGACTTTCTTGTTCGAACTATCCCCGGCATCGCATGCAGAATTTCTGTTGGAACTGTTGCTTTTGTTACCTCGCGCTTTAGTCACATCGTGGAAAAGCTACCGTGAAAAGATAGAGCGCGTAATTTCATGTAGTACACCCGCTCATTACGACGCTATTTATGCGTCTATCTATCACTCGTCGCGCGAGACTGCGGCCAAGGACTTTTACGTTAATAAATTATAGAGCACAATAATTCCCCCGATAACTTCCGTCACACCCCGCGCGACGACCCTCGCGTTACCGCAGATGATCGGCGTTTAAACCGCGCTTGTGCCCTTCGATCACAATAGTCCGACGACAAATCACCAAGACGGATATCAACTATTCCCATTGACTAAGGCAAATAACTATGCTTCGCTTGCTTATCGTCGGCTGTATCGGTGCACCGCTCGCGCGTGTAATTACAGCGGATTGAATTACAGATACGCAATCCGTACATCGAGCGGACTACCTCGTCGCTGACAGAAGCAGTTCCCCCAGCGATCGAGACCTCGTCGCGAAAAACTGTAATTTGTTAGCGGCGACGTTTTGAGAAACCTGACTGTCCGCGAAACCTCGTGTCTCGTTGCCAAGTTTACACCTTGGCATTCGATATCGATCATCAGTTAACTACAGCAATCAACGGGCGAATTCCTCAAGCGTGTCTAATCGCATGTTTTTTGTCAATATCGAAATGTCCATGCCACTCGAGACATTTGGCGAGCGGTCACGGCTCCTTCGACAATCTCCCGTTTCTTCAAAAATACCTTTGTCATCTCTTTACGTCCGCTGCTTTGTCTAGCGAAGTGTAACGGTTTTTGTTAGACATCGATTTGCCTATGACGTTCTCGTTTAGCTCCGTCAGCTTCATCTTCGCCTCACTCGTCTTACGTAATTTATCAAATCAATACGTACGTGCAATGTAATATGAAACAGAATGAAATAATAAGGAAAACTTATATGCAACTATATTAATAGTTATTTTATTAATATTATATATAAATTTAATTATTATTTGTATATTAAAATTATGGCTTCAGTTTTCTATTTTTCCTTAAAAATTTCATTTTTATGTAAATTTTATATTATAATAATTAATCATATATTATTATATTAATTATTATCTCAATTAAAATACAATTACAACGAAACTAAGGGTCAACAATTAATGGCTGACCTAATGTTTTTTTTTTGCCTCGTGAGTTAAAGCGAGTTTTATCGTGACCAGCGTTGTGCGTTGTGACAAGCGTTCTGATAGTAACGATACACATATAGGAATGATAATTTTCGTTCCATTTCAACGATTTTGGTTCAAGGTAATCCGGCACGAGGCTCGTGTCTTAAGCTTCTCGCGCGTGTACGAGAACACGAGCTTTTCAATCCACGCTCGCTATTCATAATTACGCGATAGCCTTCCAATTTGCTTCTCTTCCGAAGACGATACTCGTGCGCGTGCGATAAAAAACGACGTCAACATAAAATTACAATAACGATGACGATCATGTAATTTCTGTTATGCGAGATTTCACGTGTCGGTCGTGACACGTGCGAGAGAACGTTCGTCGTCCGTCTCGCTCATCGTAATGACCGCCATTGATTCTTTAACCCGAGTACTGTAGCACTTTCGCAAAGTGTCACGATGGCGTAAAGAACTATATAAATTTGCGACACATTACAAAGTCCTTAAGGGGTAATGCCACTCTAACGCCAGGAAAAACAGCCTAACTATTTCTTGGAAATATTCTTGGAAATTGTGAAAAATTCTTGGAAATTCAGATAGTGCCACCTCTTTGCTGATTATGTTCTCCTGATACTTGATCAGTTTTCTAGATTCTCGATTTTAGCGATTTGAAATCCTCGGAATTCCAA